CCCCCTAGAGATTGGGCAGAGTTTGTTTGCTGAGACTGCTGGACACTGCTCTGGGAGCTCACGTACTGATGGAATTGAACTTCAGTATCTGTTAATAACTTGCTGTGATAAAACTAACCAAGTCCTTCCCCTCCATTCTGCTCTCCTCATTTTTTGACTGCTCCTTGCAAGAACAAACTTGTGCAGCGATACACTTAAAAATAGCAATGCTGTCTTGCAGAACTCGCAGCTAGAAGCCAGTCCCTCTCAGACTGGTCCTTTCCAAAAAGCCAAGAAATTTTCAAGATAGCTTAAATCATTTGCTGTCCTTATATGACAAATGCTGCAACACTCCACTGCTAAATTGTCTCCTTTTTTTGCTTTATTGGCTACTGCATCCATCATTTCCAATAAAAATAAAGTGAGCAGTTATCTTTGGTAAGAGCATGTTGTGATACCAATCATGCTTGAGAAAAGGGAGTGGTGCCTACTCAGGTTAGTCAGGAGGAATGGCTTGTTGCAGGGTAGAACGACTTAAATCTTTAGAAACCTGCTTGAGAAACTAAGATTCATCAGTTTTAAGAACGCTCATCCTTTATTGTGGGTAAGAGTCCTGTGTTTGGGGGGAATTGGGGTATGTGCATGTATTTGAATCTCTATTGTACAGATTCATCTACTGTCTTACAAAATGGTGCTGCAGACTTCTGAGGATATTAGTGCTGATATCTAGCTACAAAATATCCTTCCACACCTTACTAAAATGGCTCCAGAAGCAAATCAAAACTGGATGCCTGAAACCCCAGCAGTAAGAGGCCTTCTGCCACCATTCTTCAAGGGTAAGGTGCTGCTTCTGTAACTGCATCGGATTCTTGTGACTGGTAGGAGACTTCTCATGGCTTATGCTATCAGCGTGTTTAAGAAAAATACAGAGCCCGCTGCCTGTATGGGCATCATAATTAAAAGCTACTAATGACCTAAAATGCTTAATTACTATAGAGCTGACTAACTGTCTTAATGGAAATCTGAGACTTGCCTACCAAGTGAGATCCTTGTTAGAAGGATTGGGAGTTGCTGTTTGCTTTGCATGTAGTGAAGTTAAGGAGTTCTCTCCCTGTGAACTCATTTGAGTATCAACTGTGATAGCACAACTTGCCACCTGAGGCTTTCCTAGGGACACTCCAGTGCCTGGAGCATCCCCATGTGCTTTCACCGTGGCGTGTGTGTTTCTCTTGCTTTCCTTTTACCCTTTTCCACACATAACACTTGTCTGTGGATCACTCTGTAGGGAACCACAGCCATACACGCAGGGAGAGGCAGCCAAAAGGCAGGTATCGGCCTTTACTAACTATATTGCAAGGCCTGACAACCCTGCAGAGTGCCCATCAGTCTCACTGGTCTTATTTTCTCTTCATCAGCATGGAGAGAGAAGTGTTGATTACTGAGGTGGTGGATCTAGGAGTGGGACAGTGTCCTCTTCCGCTCCAGGATTCATCCTGGAGAGACACTAAAAGTGGTCCACAAACTCTGTGATCCTCTCCTGCTGTCTCTTGGCATGTACAGTCCACTTTGCTCACTCACGGAAAATTTAAGTGACTCTTCATATCTGCAGCATCTGATGCTCTTGAACTGATAAGGTGGCTGGTTACTGGGGAAGTTATCAGGAAAGGTGAGTTTTAGTATGAAATCTTGACATTCCTTAGTCCTCCTCTGGCTGGAGGTCTGCACATATCTAAGAGGGAGACTTTCCTGCATGCCTTGCAAAAATGCTTCTGTGCCTGTCCAGTCCATGTAATTCAGCAGAATTGAGAACCACTATGTCAGCATGGAACTTCATATTGCTTAAAAGACTATGGAGTAGGGTCCTGTGAGGAAGGCAAAGAGAAACAGTGTTCTTGTTTTCCAGTCAGGGGAAAAAGAAAGAGGAGGGGTGGGGTGGGGTGTGTGGAATCAAGGCCTGATGAGGAGGGGAGTTACTGCGTTGTGAAACAGGAGGTTTGGAAGCTGTTTCATGACTTGAGGAACAGGGAACAATCAGTATCATGAACACGGAAGGCACAGAACAGGCAGTGCCCCAGGCAAAAGGCATTTTCTATTCCTGATGCTAAACTAGTATTAATGAAGAGCAAAGCCTGAATAAAACACTCAGACCTTCAGGGTCCAGGCTGAGAAGGCAGCTTTAGCCCTACTCACTTTCTTTTGATTCTTGCATTAAACTAATTGCAAAGTAATACACAGTTTTGAAGGCGCTGGAAGTTGCTTTTGTAGGCTTATGTTTGCCACTGCGCACACACCTGCTTGTAGCTGGCTTAATGTCTTAAAAATCTTACTTAAAATCTCAGTGTGAAAGAGAATGTATATTGAACACCCATATTCCCTGCCCTCTTCAGAAGAGGATGGAAAACTAACCCAAAGAGCTCTACAAGATCTAGACACATTGCATTTCTTCTTTATAAAACTGTAAAAGAATGAAACAAGGCATGGAAGTATTTTAGGAAACGTGGAATTTTTTCCCCAGAGATGGAATTTCTGTGGAATTCTCACTGTGATGCTTGCCATTCACTTCCCTTCAACTCCATGTATTGAGGAGCTCAGAGAGACAAAAAGCTGCTCCTTTTCCCCTCTTTGCTGCAGCCTGGACCCTGCAAGATGGGTCCTTTGTAGTTCCCAGTGTGGCTTCTCCCCTGCTGCTCACTCTGAGTGCTGCTATCTAGCCAGTTATCTTTGTAGGTTTTAGGACTCCGTTTATTGTTAGCTCCACCAACTCTCCTGTATAATGTGAGTTTCCTCTGCTGCTCTGTAACAAGAAAAGCCATATAAATAGGAGGTTTGTAGAAACCCGCTCTGTGACTGGAGATCTGTGTAATTGGTGGTGAGACCATTGGTGGTACAGCTGAGTTTTCAGCTTTTTTGAGTGCATATAACATCTCCAGTGTTACTGAAATCCCATACATTCTCATCTAGTGTCGTTTCCTGACTCCTTTTAAGGACATTTTTTTTTCTATTTGTGATGCTGGCCTTAATGTATGTCTCATTTAATGCCATTCCTGCATTCAGTCCTTGCCACTTTCAGGCCTTGACCAGTTTCATCCCACCTCCCAAAGAAATCTTTCTCCTGGACCTGTAGCACAGAGATCTTCAAATAGGAAGGAGGAAGAAGTGGAGAGAGCAAAATAAAACAGGGCCATGGAGCAACATCAGTCTTGTGATCCCTTCCTCATAGCGGTTGCTTCTCTGTGATGTTGCATCATTTCTAAAAATAGAACTTAAGGTCCTTTGGGAAATGGCACTTGTCTTTTGTTCTGTAAAGTACCCAGTGTGTTTTGAGTCTCACTTAAAAAAAGCTGCGTACCAAGTATAAGAATAGAGTGGGGTTTAAGATGCTTTATTTCCTTGTTCTCACATCTAGTCCTGCTTCCTAGTGGTGATAATGGACTTCAGAAGGTCCAAATGGCACTGCCCTTTCCTCTTCAGAGCTAAAATAAAAGGTGGAGGGAGATCGTAGGAGACCGATACACCGTCAAGACTGTGCGAGGGGGATTTGTACAGAGCATGTTGTTTTCGCTAGTCACAGGTGCTTCTTGCCTCCCAGTAGCTTAAATAAATAGAAAAATAATAGCACGAGTAATTAAATGCAGGGGAAACAGGCAGGACAGACTGATTGGAACAGTCTTTTGATGATAAATCAAGGAAAATGACAGAGGTAGGAGTGGAAAGTACAGCTCAAAGAAGTATCTGAGTTGTAGTCACAACTTTAAACAGCATCTCAGTTGCCTTCCTGGATCAGACTGAGTTCTTCTAGTGCCTGTGATTTTTCCAGAACTGACTCAGACTCTTTAGAAGGAGTAAAATAACTAAAACTGAAACATTTTATGAAATTTTACATGAAATTTGATCTTTGAGAGTACTGAAGCAGAGGGCAAATCTTACAATATATGGGAGCCTAGTCTGCAAGGAGGTGGTGAAGGACTTTACTGGCTGTGTTTTATGGAAGCTCAGCTGGCTGCCCAGGCCGTGTTCACTGCCTCACGTAGGGTTGTGGCTGTATTTTCTCAACTGTAGACTCAGGTACAGGCTTGGCTTCAGCTTCCTATCCTCAGCGGGTGTTACTCTTCTTCAATTTCCAGACAATTGCAGTAAAAAAAATCCCCGTGTGTCCTTACTCAGAAGGAAGGTACTGAAATGTGAAATAACATGATAAAAGGCAGAGGAGGGGGATCAGAATCTACACTGAAAGGCGAGTCTGCAGTCCGTGCTTTGCTCCTGAGTTAAGTTTCTCTTCAGTTGATATTTCGCTACTTGAATAGTTTATTCTGGACAAATCCCATCTTGCTAATGGCTCCAAAATGGTGCAGGAGGTGCGTTATACGCAGGCCTGGGTTTTGTCACGTCAGGAACAGAGGGCGCGCGTGACCTCTGTGTCACGATCTGGAGTGTATTCACCATGTGGAGTGGCGCTGCTGTGGACTAATGCCCGCCTGGCAAATCCACCTCTGAAGGATTTACAAAGGGTCATTTTTGTGGTGTTTCTTTTCCACCTACGTGCTGCGGAGAAACAGTTGACAAATTATGGCGGCGGGTGTAACGCTGATGAAAAAAGGCTCAGAAACTGGTTTGTGGGAACCTGTGAAATCTGTGGAGTTAGAGAGTTTCCTCCTCCCCTCCATTGGAATGAACGTGAAGTCACATAATTAGTAGTATATCCTCTTATGTATTAAATTTTTGAGGTGCAGCATCACATCCTCAGCTTGTTGAAGAATATAAGTAAACCTTGACTGCAATTGTTTTAATTATATTTATGATGCATTTTTCAGACGCCAGAGAGGCACAGCAGGTCTTGGTTCCCTCTGCAGACCATGTGTATTTGAGGGCCAACTCACACCTCACCTCCCCATGGGGAAGGCCAGGGATTCCGGCAGCACGGCTGCTGTCGGACCTCCCAGCCCGTATCGGGGTCACCCATAGAACAGCCAGGGCGAGGAGGGGGGAAAGAACGCGACAGGTTTGAGGAGGCCCAAGAGGAGATGGAGGGGTCACCCTCGGGGGAGCGACGGGAGAAGGTGCGGGCAGGGCCCCAGAGCGAGGGCAGCCAGCTGGGCCCCGGGCTGAGGAGCCGCAGGGGCGGCGGGGCGCCGAGGCGGTCGGGCCGGGGGGCGGCCGAGGGCCCTTCCCGGGGACGGTGGGTGGGGGCGCGGGGCGCCG